AGAAAGGCGCCGGTCGCCACGACACTCGAGCCCGCCTCGGCGGCGTAGCAGGCGGCGCTCGAGCTCCTACTCGAAACGGAGTTCGTCGTCGTCGTCGTCGTCGTCGTCGTCATCGGCAGCATCGCGTCGTCGGCGGCGGCGGCGTTCCCCATCGAGTTCGACGAGCCGCGGCCGCAGCCGCTCACCAAGCTGGGGGGCGTAACGTAACGGGATGCGTGGGAGGGAGAGGGAGACTTGACGGCGCTGAGGAAACAAAGGGCCCTCTGTGTCCTCTGAGCGAAGGGTGTGGTCGCTTCGGGGCTGTTTTCACTCTCGTTATGTGGAGTGGATGCTGGTGTTTATTCTCCTTTGTTTTCTTTTCTTTTCTCGTTTTTTTGCTTCGTTTTTTTTTTTTTTTTTTACAANTTTTTTTTGTGTTACAATTTGCACAAAAGAAAAAGAGTTCCGGCTGCCCGGGGCGTGTATCGTTATAGCAATAGCGACAAGGGGGAGAGCCAACGGTGGGGTTCGCTCCACGCATCCAATCCACGTAGTAGCAACAAGAAGAACGGGGCCCAATAACTCAATAGAGAGTATAGAGAAAGTTGCTGCCTTCGTTGTTTTGTTTTATTTTCCGACTGGATTTATCCTCGGAGGAGGGGACAGGTGAAAAACAACAAAAAAAAAGAAAGTACGCGTCCGTGAGGGACCGGAGGGATGAGCAGTTTCAACGACACTTCCGGGTACTCGGGCAACAGCTCCACTCTGGACGACGCGCAGACGGGGGACGGTAGTCGGTTGGAGGACCAAACGTCCCCCTCACCGTCGCGCATCAGCGGGTCAGAGATCGACCGCCGCACAGCCTCCTTCACAGACGAGGAGGCAACATTCTATGAGGATGAATACACGAGCGGATATGATACTAGAACATACGACACCCGCACATACGATACGCGCACCCATGATGACTCATCGTTTCCGCAGTCACCGCGTTCCGATGAGCTAAGTTCAACGTTTGCGAGCTTTTACCTGGAGAGTGACGCCGCTCGAAAAGTCAAGTCGACTATTTCCTTCCTACGTAAACCACTACTTTTCTTTTCCTTTGCGTTGCCCGGCACCGGTGGGATTGGTGCTATGTGCCGTGTGGTTCATGCTGTCACTGTAGCTGCAGCCCAGCGCCGTGCGACGGAGAGGCCGGCTGCATTAAACAACCTGCGCGCTTTGCCGGATGGATATACGGACATGCCCGCATGGATGAAGCAGGCCCGACTTGCGTTGCCCTCCTTTGTAGAAACCGCCGTTAAGAAGGTGCTTCGTTCCAGCGGTGTTCCTTCACTTGCTGACCTGCAGAGGGAGCGGTGGCGAGGTGCAATGGAGGGCTTGAAGCGTGCGGGGGAGGAGATCATTTCCCAAGCCACTTATGTGACTTCAGGGCCGATGGTACCACTTGTGGTGTTTCTTCCACTTTTTTCGGTCGCTGTCATTACTGTGGCTCGTCGCGTAGTTGCTCAGCAGCATGCTCTTCACCAGGAGGAGGAGGAGGTGGAGGAGCTGGGATTATACGAAGACGAAGGCATGGAGCATATCCCGCCTCAAGGGAGCTTAGATGCCTCACGCATCCCAGATGAGAGTGAGATTATGCCTGATAAGGTTCCAGTGAAAGACATGAGTAACAACATTGAGGATTATTATGATAACGACAAGACAGGTGCTACGGGGAACAGCCACTCGGTGAGACCCATAATGGGCGCACTCCATAAGGCTCATTCGAGCGTCCAGGCACCGTCGGAGAGCCATACCAATCCGCACACTATGTCCACATCACGGGATTTATCGCCCATTTCTTCAGTGCACGAGGAGGCGTTTAAGCATGTGTTGCCGCACCATGCCGATGCCGCTGCGTCCGTGGCTCTGTCAATGGATGAAGCCCTCCCACGTGGCATCAGTAGCGCCCCGTACGCCCTAAAGGGTGACGCTGTGGCCGCGCTAGTGGGGAGCCCCAGTGCAAAGGAGGTGGATGTGCTGCTTGTGGCGGCTGCCAGGTACAACTGTAGGCGTCTGATTCTTCCGGACTCACTACCGGAGTCTGCGTTGGCGTCTATGGCGCCGTCATTATCTATAGAGCGAGTGGCTGATGTGATGGAATACATCATGGATGTAGAGGAGCCCCGTGGGTTGACCACCATTGGTGTTTTTCTCCGCCCTATCACGGATGATGCTGTGGAACTTTCTCTTTTCACACATCCAAGTGCGGCGGTGTATGTGTTTGTGCCCGCGACAGGATCTGACGAGAATCTTGTGGCCCACCTAGTTGACAGACGCATTTACGTTTCATCCTCTTTGGAGGAGCCGATCCCTGCCAATGCATGCTTCTACGATCGCTCCGTTAAGGAGAGAAGCGGCGTCGTTGTGGGCAACGGCAACGTCGCACATCAGTAGGCAAGCAGGGTATCCTACATAGAGACTTAGTCCACTTCAGAAACATAGAAAGCGGAGGGGGCCAGTGGAAGAGAGAGAGAGAGAGAAAGAAAGAGTTTTTGGTTTCGTGTGCGGTTATTCGGGCTGTGCATTTTGACCAAATCGTATCAAGAGGTTTCTCTGCACTTCTGTGTGTTGTTTTTGTTGTTCGTTGTCGCCTCTGTTTCATTGAGTCCTCTCTGTCCCCGATGTGTATTTCGATTTTTCTTTTTGTATTGGCTTGTACCTGACACACACAGACACGCACCAAACAAAAAGAATTCACCTGTCTTCTTTGCGTTTCTTTCTGCCTTCCGTCTTTGTTGTTGCCTCGCGTAGACGAGACGCACCTGTACAAGGAGAGCGTGCACGTAGGCTCCATAGAGGTGTGTGTGTCTGCGAGGCTGTGCGCTGGATAACGACGAGCCTACACACATACGTACATACATACATACGCATAGACACAGGGAAGACCTGGCTGTGACCTCCTCAGCTTTTGCTCTTCCACTCTTTAATACATATCAACATCATATACACGCCGATATTCTTCCAGATGTTTGAGCCCTTACGCATAGAACGTGTACCGTCGCGCATAAAGACGGAATCCGCTTGTGTGGCTTTTGCGGTGAATTCAGATCCCCATTCTGGGTCTTCCTCCTGGGGCAGCTCCACCGTCACAAGCACGATAGACCTCATCTTTCACAAGGCTGGGAACGAGCTGCTGGAGTTGCCTGTGCCTGGTGCACGTGAGAAGAAAAAGACGCCCCACTTTTTTCGCCTTTCTTGCCCCGATGCATCACATTTGAGCTGTTTCCCCATCTCTCCAGAACATACACTGACCTCCTCATTCAGCGAATGCAGCGTTTTAGATGCAGCGTGTAAGAACAGTGCCGGTGTCGTTGCGCAGCGGCTGCCGACTATTGCACTGTTGCTTCGCACAGGGGATGCGGAAACGAGCTTGCTTGTTCTTCGGCCAACGGTTCATGTGGGGCGAAAGGGAGCCGTTATTCGCTACAGCGCGGCGCTCCACACCACACCCGATGATGTGCGGCATGTCGTGATGAGTCGAGGTGGAGAAGTCGTCTTTCTTATTGGCTCACATGCAACGGAGCATGGCGGTGCGGTGCAGTGCTACACGCTTTGCCTCTTCGGCGAGGGGTCGCAGGCGCGATTTCGATCGCTACCCCTTGCTGCTCCAGCTGCGGCTGTTGCAGGCGGGCGCCAGCGTGTGGTGTGGGCCGCCGCACGGAGGCCGCTGCGTTGTGCCGCTGGCTGCCTTAACGCTGCGGGCGCGGAGCTGACGGTTCTTACCGATCATGCGGTGATGCTTGTTTTCCACGTAGGCATCGATGGCGCGAAGAGTCCCCACGCGGCGTGCATCTGCGCCTCACACCTTGGTCAACGCGAGTTGCGCCCCAACACACGTGAGCCGCTGGGCGTCGTCGAGCGGTGGAGGACAACGGCGCCGTTTGCGCTTGCCGTGGATGCCGCACACGATACACCGACACCTGCGTGGGACAACACGTCGTTTCTGCTGCAATGCTCCTCGGTCGGTGGACCGATTGTGCGTACGAGCCCTAATGGTGCTGTTCTCTGCGTGATTCTGCCGAAGACACATGAAGCGTTTCTGGTCGGGATTGGCTCAAATATCAACACCTGCACCGCTGTGCCTGCGGCTGCTGTTCCGGTCGCCATGCCGTCGAATGTGAGTATCCGCGATGCCATATGGGTTAATGGTCCGGTGTCTGGGTTCCTGCTGCTCGGCGTCACCGATCCTTGCGGCTCGACAGGGCTCTACTTTCTTCCGCTTGGTGGGCATGCAGTGACGCGTGTCCATGTTGAACGGGGACATCTCGCGTGCCTCAACGTGGAGAACGGGGCTCTCTCGTTCTTTTCGCAGGGGGCAGTGCAGGACGTCTTTGGCGCCCCCCGACTGCGTCTCTCAATGCGTTATCTCCGCTGCTGCCGTGAGAGGGAGAATGAGAAGACGGTGTTCGAGGAGGTGAGAACGGGGCTTCTGTCACTGCCGACGATTTCGTCCCTGATGCCGCTTTGCCGCCCATTGGAGGTTCTGCATTTTGTGCGCCATGTCGGGTTGGCGTCATTTGTTTCAGTCCCTCCTGCTGCTGCAGCAGCCAACGTGGAAAACAAGGCGGTTCGCAGGATTCCGTCCCTTCTGAACGCTGATGACAACGACGACAAGAAAAATCTCCAGTTGGCTACGGAGGTGGAGCTGGAGGCGCGCCTTGATCCTTGGCTTCGGGCTGGGGCAGCAGGCGTGGGGTTTCCTTTGCGAGATGCTGTGCATGAAATCGTTCTGAAGTTAGTGGAACACATGCAGTGTGGCCTTTCTGTCAGTGAAATCGGTGACAACAGTGCTGTTGCGTCGCTACTGGCCGTCTTTCAGGGTGTGGCAGATACATTCGCGGCGGTTGAAGTGATGTCTTCTGTGACTCTATTGCGGCACAACCTCTCGGAGATACACGGGCTGTTGGTGGCGTTGCGGCATGCGCTGACGTTGATGGGCCAACGCGGTGCGATATCTGCGTGCTACACGGCAGCGACGTACTTCACACGGCTATGCGGTACCAATATGAGCAAAACTGTTGCTACGGTCGCTGGTAGTGGTGGTGGTGAATCGTGCTGCCCCGAGTGGCGAACTATCATTGCGCCCTTCATTGATGATGCGTTTGCGCTTGTTGTGACGTGTCCGTCTCTGGCGGACGCTCTGCTTCCGTACTGCAGTGCGCCGCTCCGGCACATGATGACCGCTGCGGAGCATGTGGCGCAGCGCGAACGCCGAAAGAAGCAGAGTACTGTTGTCCCATTCCTTACAACGGACCACAACGGCGAAGTGGTGCGCCCTCTAGAGGAAGTCTTGTCGCTTGCGCGTAAGGGTGCTTCAGGGCTGGCAATGCTCTCGGTAGCAGATGTTTGCTGGACAGCGCACCGCCTGTTCTTCCGTGAAGGTGTGGAGGCCACTCGTTCTTTTCTTGGTACGCTTGTGGACAACCACCAGCGCTCCCACGCGGATGTGCAGAGCCTCTGTGCAGAGTACAGCGCGGTAAACAGTGAAGTTGCTCCAGTCTTACACTGCATCTAGTTCTGCCTGACGTGTGGCTGTTGCCATTTCATGCATTATATATATATATATATAAGCTTTTGATTGTTTGGATTCTTGTGTTGTTTTTTTAATTGTTTTTGCGTCACTTCAGAGAGGGAGAGCATTGCTCTTCTCTTGTGCTTCGTGTTCGTTTGTTGTGGAGTATGCTTCGCCCTTGTTCGTTATTCTCTGCTTTGCGTGATATTAGAAACTCACACGGTCACCGCTATCCGGAAAGAAAAGAGGAGACGCACATTTCATATACACTCTGCGCATACACACCAAGGAAACGCTGTGAGTGGCCGCTAGTGAAGGGGGCAGAGAGGGAAGGGAGAGAAGTTACTAAGAGTAGGAAGAAAATCATCTAACACAAACTATGCAGTGCTCATCGACGGAAGGGACCTCCACAAGCGACCGCGAGCTGTCTGCTAATGTGCCTCTGAAGACTGCGAGGACGCACATCCCACGCAGCAGTCCTCTCTGCTCAGTCGTGACACACTGCCCGCAGGCGTGGCGCTGCCTCTCCGTCGGCTGCTTCGACGAGGCCAGCAGACTAAGCCACGCTAACAACGACGTGCTCTGCTGGGTGGCGTCGCTCACTATGTGCGGGGATACGGTGCTGGCGCTCAAGACGGTGGAGGCGTACGTCATCGCCATGTCGGTGGTGGCGCACGAGCGACGATTGCGGCCGGGTGAACTCGATGAACGGCTTGTGCAGCGCGCCACTGAGATCATGGTGAGCTGGCTGAGAAGCCCGAAGGCGGCGACGAAGGTGATCGGTAAGAGCTGGCATGCGGCGGACGAGGAGTGCCGCGCCGCGGTGCTGGACGCGTGTGACGTCGTTGACTGGGATGGGGTACACCGCTGGTTCCTCATTGCGCTCTTCCTGCATGATAAGGAGTACAAGCCGCCAAATGTGACGTGGTTTCGGTACTTCTTTGCGCTCTTCACGGAGGAAAACGCCACCGCGCGTGCTCGCCCAGTGCGGGCGGTGAAGGCGCTGAAGCAGCGGAGGGCGGTTCTGCAGCCACTGACGACCAACGAGGTGGAGGACATCCTTCTTTCGTACTGCACCAAGTTTGACATGGATCTCATCTCCACTATTACGGCGTGGAAGACGCGACATTTCCGCAGCGCCATTTCCTCCGCCACCGCCTTCTTAGGTGTAGAGGATGAGGGGTTCATGATCACAGATATGCACATGCGGATCATGGCGCGCTTCATCCGCTGCATGTGCCTGATTGAAATTGGCGAGCGTACGATGGCAGCCAACGATGCGCTTGAGTTACTTCGGTGCGATGATGAATTTGTTATGACGGTGGGAAGTAGTATTTCAGCGTTTCTTGTTCCAGTTCCACAAGCAGTTGATGTTGTGACATCTTATAAAGGACCTATACCACAACGCCGCTACGCCCATGCACTCTGTGAGTACATTCATGCTTTGACACTCGTTCAGCTGGGCTCGTTAAAGGCTGCAGTGAAAATCATACAATTGGTCATCCCACTTGCTCTCGACCACGACGTGGGTGAATGGCTGCTCGATCTACTCACCATTGCATGTACAGGGCTGGAGGATTCGGCGACAATTCTCAAATACCCATTATCACCACAGCGGCAGCTGTACATCGCCATGTGCCCCGCCTTTTTTGGCGGTTTTGGGCGTGAATGCGCAAAGTTGCACACACACACACCAGCAGGGCGGTTGCTGTACCCCAAAAAACTTCTGACATACGTTTCGCTGCGACAGTCATTGCCGTACTATATGAACCGCACACACTACCAAATCGCTCAACAAAAGTACATTGAGGCGTGGGAGCAGGTTTGTCTTGCGGTCGGCTGCGCGGAGGAGATCGTTGGCTCCGTTGAGTTCGCCTTCACGGAATGCTCTCCATTGTGTGCGTACTATCTTGGTTGCACCGTTGGGGTGGAGGTGCTGCAAAGACTGCTGGAGGTTATGATGACGAGGGAGGCGGTGGCGAATGGGGTCGAAGGCGGCAGCACTGCTGAGATGCTGCAGGAAGAGGGGGATTTGCTTGGTGAAGAGGTTCTGCGCAAGTGCCTGGAGTGGGCACAGCGCATTCGGCAATTCCACCCCAATGCTCGATTAGGGAGTGTGGCATTGTCGCAGTACTTCAACATGTCTCGCAAGGAACAGTTCATCAGCCGTGCTATTTGCCTTGCACGTCGCTACCCGCGCTGCGTGTTGGCGCAAAACTGTCTTACACTTGCGCTTTACGCCAACCACCACATTCCAGAGGCGGTGGATCAGGCAGCAAGGACGCTGGAGACTTTTCCGCACTCCCGTGAGGTTGTTGCCGTGCACCGCAGCATTGCGCAAAAGGACGGTACCTATATTTTCAATTACCGCACTCTTTTTCCGGTTCGCTACGCCCCTGGGTCGCAGCGTGTGTGGACAAAACGGATGATTGTGGTGATGGTGCTGCTGTTCGTGAACACTATCATTTTTTTGGTGACGCTCCTTGTGAACATGTCGAACTGGCTCACGTACCCGGAGTCGATTAAGGAGTTGGCCATTCGTCTGCAACTTCCCTCTGTGTTCCCGCTTCTCTACGCTTTCTTGGTCGTTTTTTACGCCATACTGGCTGGCTTGTCACCGCGTAACCTCACTCGAACAATGATGCAAGATCTTTTCTTCAGTGACACCCGTATGAATCGCTTTCTTTTTGCCTTGCGCGGGATAGCGTTTGTGAATACTTTTAACGCGATGCAGATCACCCTTGCAGGAAACAATTTTCTCTTCGACTCCAATTGGTATACCTTTTTCCTGTATTTGGTCATCGCCTGCGTTTTTGTGCCTTTCACTACACGAGTGTGGTTCCTCCCTTCACTGGACGAGCCGAAGGACGGTGTGTGGACGTGGCTGACGCTCTTTGCAGTGGACACCGCTACAGCGTTTATATTGGTAGTGCCGCACATTATACTTTTTGCGGTTGAGCCAATTATGTTCATTATATTCTTCTTCTTCCAGCCAGTTCGACGGCCTGATGAAGAGAATGTGAGCGGGTATGTTGGAAAGCGGCTACTCCTTCATCAGGAGTATCTCAAAGAGAGCCCCTTTCGCTACACAGCGGGGAGTGGATCGAGGTTCATTCATATACGTCTCATGTCGCTTCTGTACTACAAGACGCATTCTGATCTCACAACAAAGCATCTGGTAAAGTCGCAGCTTGATGAGGACAACTACCGCGTTTTTCCGTTAATTGAGGTCCTTGATTACATCTCAACCGAGCCAGTAGATCAAAACGCCCAGATACGTCCAACACGGAGCCGAGGCGCCAGTGTGGTTTCCTCCACAACCTCCCGTTTTGACGGAACAAACGACCGCGACGGTGGTGACGCTGATGACGATGACGATGACGATGACGATCATGAAGGTGTGAATGGACGGAAACCACTGTTGCGACGTCTCACAGAGGTGGAAACAGACGAGAACAACAACACACACTCCCGTGACTACGGTATCAATAATGATGATGGAAGCGATACAAGCAGAGAGGAGGAGTTGGCAGACTTTTGCCTCGGCTCCACACTTGTCCTCAACCCTGATTCCATGCAGAAGGCGAGGAAGAAGAGGCGGGCGACGGACTTGCTGCGGATGCCATTCGCCGGCTCGCCCACATCCACAATGTGCCGTGAGAGCGACGATGAGAGGAGCAATGGGGTGAATGGCAATCCGAGGGGTGAAGGTATAGGGACGGTGTTCCGCTTTCCAAAGAGGGGGTTCCTCAACATGATTAAATACGGCAACTCAGCGTCGGACCGCAGTGAAGAAAGCGATGCCGACAATGTAGCTGAGACCGACGACAATGGGGCGCTTAAATCAGGCCGAACACCGGTGCGCTCGGAGGCACGCGTGTGCCTCTCCCACCTCACCAGTACACTCCGTGGCGGTGACTCCTCCGCAGCAAGCAATCCATTGGCCACCACTAATACGTCTGTTGACACTACTAAGCCTTTCTCTCGTGCGCGGTTGTGTCTGGAGAATTTGGACCGCGCGGGAAAACATTCCATGGAGCCGTCAGTCCATCCTCCCCGGGGCGGCAAGTCTGGCGCTCCACCGCGGCGTTCAAGGGAGGCCAGAGAATGGCGACATCAGCATGCAAACCCAGACTTCACCCCTGAGTGTGAGGAACCACTGCTCCAAGCCCTTCAGGGGCTTTATTTCGCTCTCATTTCTAATAAGGCAACTGACGTCAGTGCAAGTGCGACTGCTGCATTGCGTGTCAAGAAGGCTGCGGTGGATAGTTGTCTCACGGACCTATTCCTAGAATCGAAAGCAGACCGTCTCGCGCTGGAGAGCGTGAGCTGCAATGAGCTTTGCTGCATGGTTGTGGAGAAGATGGTGAAGGACGGCGACAACGAGTCTAATCCTCTAACTGCAGGAAATGCTACATTGGTGGAGAAACTGCTGCTACGCCTTGATGCAACCCCAATTATCAACACGATTTTGTGCAACGGCCTCCTTGAACACTGTGTACTGAGCGGTTACACGGATATGTTTGCCGTGATTCTGACCCCAGTGTGCGTACAGGACATGGAGTTAATTCACTGGGAAAGCCTCCTGCAAGCATTTAGTTTGGAGTCTGCACCTGGGAAGATAGACTCCTTACGTATTCTTCTAAAGGCGTCTAGACACGCCGTGGCCAAGAACATTCTTCGCGAGATCCAGCCACTCCTCCAGGCTGCAGTACGCTCCACGCTCATATCAGAGGCATCAATGTTGTCGCAGAGTGCGTTGGAGGAGTTCCTGCGGATGATCAAGGGCAGCGAACATTTACACTTAGACTTCTGGCGTGTGGAGGGTGAGGATGGCCAGACAATATTCTCCAAGGCGTGTGCTGTCGGGGCTATTCAGCTTGTCGAAACATTGTGGTCCTTGGGGCTTGTGTCGAACCCCAACCGTGTACAGAGCGACGGGAGCAATGCCCTCATGCAAGCCGTGGTGCACGAGCGCAAAGAGGTGGTTGAGTGGTTCTGCGCGTCCTCAAGCGGCGTGACGCGGGAGAGCTTTCTCTACCGCAATCCGGAACGCCGCCGGGCGGTCGATATTGCCGCCCTCAGCGGCCTGCAGGGAATGCTCAAGGAAGTGATGAACAGGATATCTCAGCTCGACGCGCGTGGACCGCTCAGGAAATCGCCTTCAAAGCCACCACGCGTGTAACATATACAATTGTTTAAATTTAGTGAGAGTGGAGAAGATGGTGGGGATCCGCCTTATTGCTCTTCGCATGATTCTGTGCAGCATCGCTGCTGCACACAACACACAAAATGTGTAGGGAGAGGGTGGTTGAGGTCGTTGATGTGGGGAAAAAAAATTCTCCTACGAGGTGTTGTTGTTGGTGGTGGTGGTGGTGGAAAAGTTCTTTTTTGGCATGCATCTGCACGTGTTATTAATCCTTGGTTCCGAATACTCGGGGCACGGACACCAATACGATGCGACAGTATGCCATCATTGGGTGTCTCTCTTTCCCTTGTTTGAGTCGTCGTTTAAGGCTTCCTTGTTTTCTATCTTCGTATGATCCTTGATATGATGTAAATCATAAATAATGGTGTTGTGTGTACCTTCTTTCTCCTAAACTTGCGTTTGTGGGGGGGGGTCTGTCGATACACAAAAAANGGGGGGCGGTGAGGGGGCGTTCAAGCGAGACTTGTTCGCCTATGGAATACCCGTTGAGCACGACTGCTTACTCTCTCCCCAGCGTGCAGTTTTCCGTTTAGTTGGTTTCTTCTGGAAGCGTAACTACCCCCTTGCTGGAGGGTACTTGCATATATACATGGGTGGGGGTGCAATGTTGTGTCGCCGATCTCTAGTTCAACGGTGGGTGTGCTTGGACGCGCATCTTGTGTTAGCCGCGGTGCCGTTTTTAGCTTCTTCCTTTGAAGAGTTTCGTGTGTGTTTGCCTTATTGGTCGTCGACCCGATGCTACCCACTCTGTCTTGCAGTGTCACTGCATGCATTCCCCGTGTTTCCCCTCTTGGGACCTTTTTTTTTTTGATATCTGAGAGATGACGGTGGGTTGCCAGCCTCTCGCTTTCCCCTTCTCTCCCTCCCTCTCTCTTTTTGTTGGACTGCTTTGTGCTGTTGTGTCTGTGTGTGTGTGTGTGCTCGGGTGTGTCTGACCTCTGCTCGGCTGCCCTTTCTCCCTCGTTCTTTCACAAGTGTGCTCCGCATTGCCCGTGCAGTACACGAAGAGGGACTCCCACGACACACTCTTCATTGTGAGCTGACGAGAAACACAATCACACAGACAGACACAGACACATACAGTGCCATCTATGACACAGCACAGCACCAACGGCCTGACAGTAGGCGGTGGCAGCAACACCAATGGCGGCGGCGGTGGTGGTGGCGGCGGCGACGACGGTCTCCAGGCGGGCCGTGCACGTGTGGGAAACGGCAGCACAGAGGATCTTAAGATCGAGGTCGCGTGGACGCGCATGACGCCCGACATGTGCGACAACATTTGCCGCACCATTCTTGACCGCGAGGCGGAGGTGCCGGTGCGGGTGGTGGATCTCATCGACAACCAACTGGGCCCTGAGCAGACACAGAAAATTGCGTCGGTGCTCGAGTCTTCCGCCGTGCGTGACGTGCTGCTGCGGTACAATGACATAGGCAAGGAGGGATGCAACGCGCTGGCGAGTGTTGTGAACGTCTCCACGAAACTACAGCTGCTTGATATTCGCGGTAACGGCCTCTCCGCGGGGTGTGTGCGCAATCTGATAAAGTCCATCTCCATGTCCACGGCACTGACGCGGCTGGGGCTTAGCTCAAACAAGATTGGCGAGGAGGGCGCAGCTCTGCTGTACAAAGGGCTCGAGAAGAATGCATACCTCACGGCACTCGACGTCTCGCTCAACGAGATTGGTCCAAAGGGCGCTGTGAGCATCGCGAAACTACTCGCACTCCCCGCATCACCGCTGAAGAGCCTGCTGGTGTACGGAAATCACCTTGGATGCGCCGGTGTCGTGGCGATTGCGGGGGCGATGCGGCAGAACCGGTGCCTGACGGAGTTAACACTCGGCAACAACAATGCCACCGACGCGGCCACCGCAGAGCTGGCTGATATGCTGCGTGAAAACGCCACACTGGAGTACTTGGACCTTCGCCTCAACACCCTTACCGCGGTGGGCGTGCGCAACCTCGCACGTGATGGTCTGGCACACAATACCTTCCTGCTGTCGCTCTGCCTATCGGGCAACCCGATCGGCAGCGTTGGTGGCGACGAGATCGCCAAGACGCTTATCATGCACCAGAACGGCGGTCTTACTCGGCTCGATCTCAGTTCCTGTGAACTTGGGCCCACGGGTTGTATGCGCATCGCCAACCTTATCTCCGCGACCACCACACTCAACGAGGTGAACCTGAGTGACAATAAGCTCGATGACGAGGCTGCTGTCGTTCTCTCGAGGAGTATTGTCAACAGTATCTCCATCTCGATGTTGGACCTGTCCTCCAACGATATTGGGGAATGGGGGGCAAGTAATCTGATCGACGCAACACAGCTTAACTCCCGCATGTCGTCACTGGTCCTCCAGGGGAACAACATCAACCGTGTGGTGCAGAAGAAAATTGATACACTGCTTGATGAACGCCTCTCCCGTAACCGTGTTCAGCATCAGCAGGCCACTCTCCACTATCAACAGCAGGTGATAAAACAAATTGCATGATCGTGGCAGTGGAAGCGGCGCCCATTGGGCAAGGACTGTCTGTCTCACTGGCCGGATATGTAAACTGTAGTGAGCTTGAGGCCAGAAATGCAATGTGAGAATACACGTGTGTGTGTGTGTTTTTTTTTTTGTGTTTCCTTTTGCTGTGGTAAATACCACAGTTGTATCACCTTTCTCTGTTGGTTAATCTTCCTTTTCCTTCGTTTCATTTCTCTTGTCATCTATCTAACTTCACGGAACACACGGACCTTCTTTTGTTCGCGTAAGACTCTTAGGGGTGGGGGGCGGAGGAGGTTAGTTGGTTTTCATTCTAGTGGGAAAATGACACTCACGAAAAACTCACGAGACGCGCGGCGAAGCAAACTGAAGGAGGAGGTCGCTTCAACGATAGAGGTGGCCGCCATGTCGTCTTGCCCACGCAATCGAAAGCGCTCTCACGATTCCACGATTCATGAGTGTGCGAAGATGCGGCGCGAGGAGGACGGTGGCGACGGGCGTGCGAAGAAGAGAGCACAGCATGAAAAGCACAGATCACCGGTGCCACAGGAGCGACCGGCAAACCGCGACGGGACTGAGAGCGACACACTTCCTCTGGAAACCGTATTGATCGCCTTTTTGAAGGCCATTACGCCAAGTATGAGCGAGCGCGAGCAGACTCGGCGGGTGCTGCATGACGTGAGCCGCTCTCTTACTGGCGTGGGCCTCCGTGTGGATGTCTTTGGGAGTTGGTGCACGGGCCTCTGCATTCCGAGCAGCGACATAGACTTTGTCGCGTCTCCAACGGCGCCTGCTGCCGGGTCGAGCAGCAATACGGCCAGTGGCAGGGGTTCCGTGTTCCAGCGCCTTCTGTTGAGTTTTGCCGATGAATCCATACCGAAGCGGGAACGCCGTGGCTATTATTCCGGTGCACTGCGTCAGGTTGCGAACAGCCTTCGCTCCTTCGGCGCCTTTCACAGCCTCATACTGATACCACATGCCAAGGTACCCATTGTGAAGGCCGTCCACCGCAATGGACAGAAGATCGACGTCTCCTTCCATAAGGACGGCCTTCTGACCTCGCAGTTTCTCTGTGAGGAGTTCAAGAAGCCACAGTTCCGCCTTGCACGTGGTCTCATCATTTTAGTGAAGGCGCTCGTGGCGAACTGGCGGCTTGACGACCCGAGCCGCGGTGGTCTTGGCTCATTCCCCATAGCGGTGCTGGTGCTGTGGTTCCTCCACTCCGAAGTGACGCCGCGTTACCCGCCTGAGTGCAGTAACAGCTATGCGGTGTGCCTCGTTGGTCTCCTCAAGTACTACGGGACGCAGTTCGATTCCAAACGAACTGGCATCGACTACGCCAGGAAGTGCACCATTAATAAGGCTCCTTCGTCAGAGTTGTGCATTATGAACCCGGTGTATCCGCATACTAACTGCGCCGTCGCAGCGACGCTCTTTGCCTCAAATGTGGTGCCCAGGTTTCGTGAGATGTACGAGCGGTTTTCAAAACTCCTGGATTACACCGCTAGCAAGTTAAGTGTGGAACGTGTGGTGGCGCATGCGTTTGGTCGCTCTATCAATGCTGTAGGCGGAAGCAGTCTGCTGCGGCAAGCAAACGTGACGACGGATACAAACCAGCACCGCTGGGAAACGCAGACTCACTTATACGCTGGAGATCCCCTTGGTCTTTGATGGGGAATTGCTGAGGGAACAAGAAGAAAAGGGTGCAAGAATTGAGTATGACTGTGGTGCACACGCCAGTTGCGACATGCGGTGCTTCACTGTGCTAGAGCTGCGGTGTGCCTCATCGTGTTCTCGTCTATTGTAAATGCGACGTAATAAGTGAGGGAGAGTTACGCATTCTTTTGCAGGCCCTTCCTGGTCCTTCCTAACGATAGTCGTCCAATGACGCAGAGTGTCGGTCACTCCTGGCGCTGAGCACCCCCTACTGGTTGCACCGCGTATGTCACTTCTTCCCTTCTTTCCCCTCTTCTACACCGACTAGTACCAAAACGCCGACATCCCCTCCTCCTCTCCTCCCACCAGCACACACACACACACAGACACAGACACAAACGATAGCCCCCCCTCCAAAAAAAAAAAAAAGGGATCTGCAGCGGCATGTTCGGCGAGCTGGTGTGTGGGCCTCCCGGAAGTGGGAAGACGACCTACTGCGAGGGGAAACGGCAGTTCCTTAGTGTCTATGACCCAACACGGCCTGTTGCCCTTGTCAACCTCGACCCGGCCAACGAGGACGTGTTCCCGTACCCGTGCGATGTGGATGTACGTGAGCTGATCTCTCACGCGCGCGTCATGGCGGAAGAGGGGCTTGGCCCCAACGGCAGCTATGTGTTCTGCGCGTCCGTGATGGAGCGGAACATAGACTGGATCATCACCAAAATTGAGGAGGCAATTGAGCGGCGCCTGCGCGATGTGGCTGGGGCAACGACAGCAACTACGTCGTCTACAGCAGTAGCTGCATCATCTTGTTGCCGCGCACCCTACCTCATTGTGGACTGCCCGGGACAGGTGGAGTTCTACATCGGTTCGACCGTGATGCACGCTCTCTTCAAGGCACTGCAGAAGAAGCTCTGTTGTTCGCTCTGCACTGTTCACCTCGTGGATGCCGGCGTCGCCACGCGTGACGTTGCGACCTATGTGTCGAGCTGCCTGCTGAGCATCACCACTATGATTGACCACGAGCTTCCGCACGTCAATGTCATGAGCAAGTGGGACACGCTCTCGGCGGAGGACGTGGAGGAGGGGGAGGTGTACCTGCGTGCCTCACAATTCATGGCGGAGGACTTCGACCGCCTGTGGAAGAAGCAGCTGCGACGGCGGCGCCGTGACCACCGCAGAGCGCAGCAGTACCCCACTGGCTCGGCAAGCAGCCCCCGCGTGGACCCACAGCGGGCGGCAAGGGATGATGCGGAGGTGGAGGCGATTGACCTCCAGAAGGACGGTGGGCAACTGTACCACTACAGCAAGGCTGTTATGGACGTTGTGGATGGGTATGGACTGGTGGGGTTTCAGCAGCTCGACGTGCAGTCGGAGGACATGATGCTGCGGCTCACCCAGCAGATTGATGAAGCGGTTGGAAACTTTGTCTAAGGTGTTGCTTTTGTGTGGCTGACTGGTTGGTTGTGCATATATATAAAAAAAATATTTATATATCTGTGTGTGTGTCTTGTGGTGAATTAATTAAATCATAAACGCACAAGTGATTGATGTGCTTTAATTTTTTTTTTTCATCTTATTCTCCTCTCTTGTTGTGTTGCCTTCCAGTGCAATAGCGGAGACGATGGACAACCTGCTGGAGATCCTTCGCACAACTACTGACAATGAGCAACGCAAACGGGCAACGGCACAGCTGCGTCAAGCGCAGGAGAGCAACCCGGAGGCATTTCTCATGTGCACGTGGGAGGGCGTCTCCTCTTCAACGGTAGCAGCAGAGGTGCGTTTCTTTCTTGCTAGTGCTGTGGTAGAGTTCGTTGAGCAGTCATGGCGCAATGTTGTTCCCAAGAAATTGCAGCATGAAATGATTGACCGCTACTTGCAGGTGCTGCTGCGCGAGAAGCTTCCGTCGCTGTCGTTGGCGCGGAAAGTTGCACTGGTGCTCAGCGTCATGGTGAAGCGATGCGATGTAAAGGCGATGCCAGGTGAATTGCCGGCGCCGATGGAACGTTCAGCCTCAATGCTGGCTGATGCGGCTGTGCAAGCTGCGGGGTGCATGACGCCCACCTCGATGGATTTCGCGACGCAATGTCTTCTTGCACTCCATGTGTTCCTTAAGGAGGCCCGGCGAAAGCGCATTGGCGGCGTGTTCCCGAAGTTGTGTCTCTTACTCGTCCCAGTGATGTCCACTCTGTTTGCATCGAGTGCCGCTTGGGACCACGTGGAGTGCTACCTTCCCTTGTTGTACTTGCTGAAGTGCGCCCTGCGTGTGTTCGGCTTTGGCGTATTTGAGCCGAGCTTCTACCCGTACCTGCTTGACATCACATGGCGTCTCGCACAAGCGGTTACGGCGCCTGGGCAGCAGCAGCAGCAGCTGCAGTACCGCCAACGGTTGCTGGAGTACGCGGTGAAGGTGCAGGCAAAGATGGTTGCCGTTTTCCCTTCACGTCTGCAGGAACTCTCTCTCGCCTTCTTTGTGGCGCAGGAGGGCGCCGCTGAGCGTGATATGTCGTTGTTCACTCTCCTCGACGCGATTATTGCGAGTCCGCTGGAGGCGGTTGCGACGGAAAAAATGGTGTGCCGCTCCATGCGCCTCTTCACAACGTTACTGGCCGTAGAGGACGCTGACCCCTTCACTGCGACCTGCCTCACGGCCCTGGCGAACTCGCCGCAGTTGCACCGTCTACTGGAGCGTGTGATTATGCTTCTAGCCGATGACACAGGCGCCGCGACACTTCGTGAGTGGGACGTCGATGCGGAGCGGTATGCTGCGGAGTTCGATGTGGACATGGACGACGAAAACAGCGTGACGTGCTGCGCGGAGGAGCTGCTGCTTGCCCTGACAGGCTCCACTGTGTGCGCTGCGAGGAGTCTGGAGGTGGCGTGGCAGATCGTCAATGCCTTTCTCACTGCCGGCGACATGGCGCATGTCACGGCGGGGTTGCATGCGATCGGTACATGCTACTACACCATGTCCGTTGGCCAGGACCCGGCGAGCTACCTTAGCTTCCTGACGGGAAAGCTCCTTCCGCTCATTGGTGCCGCTGCCCATACGTCGCCGTTTGTTGTGCGGCGCGTGGTATGGATTGTGGGGATGTGGTGTGAGTCCGTGCAGGATCCGTCCATGCGTCGCGAAGTGCACGCCGCATTTGCGTCACTCATGGCGCCGACGACGTGCACCGTCGTGCTTTTGACCACGCTACGTGCCATTGGCAATTTCATTAACGACGTGAGCTTCACCCGCGAGGAGGTCACACCGGCGTACGTACATGATGTGCTGCTGACAATTCAGCGCACCCTCCCACTGCTGCACACCCCGTCTGCTGTGAAGGGACTCTCCGGCCTCGTGCACAGTATGATTGAGCACGGCGTCCTTGACGTTGGTAGTGGCGAAATGCTGCTTGACGTGCTACTCCCCGCTGTCTACCGCATTATCAGCGAGACTCAGGCGGCTGTCAGTGCGACTGGCGACGACGAAGTCGCGGAAGTTGACGCCGGATCGTTGGGGATGCTGCTGGAGTGCGTGGGTAGCTGTGCAGGCATCACTCCACCAGATCTGGAGGACCGTGTGTGGTCTTTGTTTGCTGCTGTTGTGGTTCCGTGCACGGTGCCCGGTGGTAAGCTGACGTTGTGGGCAGAGGACTACGCATGGGAGCTGTTGCTGACGATGTGCCGTGCCGCCCGCACGTGGACACCTGCCAAACGTGACGCGCTTGCCTGGTGCTTCGAGAATATGATGCGCGACACGGCACTCCTGCATCTCGTGGTGAGGTGCGCATACACACTGTTGCTATTGTGCCCTCAGCCAGCGGAGATACTTGATGCACAGTTGGCCGACCACGCAGTGACCGTGCTGACACAGACACCCTCTGCCGAGCTTTCCTTGGCATACTTCGCACTGTTAGGGGTGATGGTGCGGCTTGGCGACGCGACTCTGCGGTGCCATCTGCTCAAGACTGCGCTTCAGCAACTCCTTTCGGCAGACTCTGTGCAGTCAGACACATACAGCGTGCGTCTTGGAGTCCTCGTCGCGTGGTGCCTCCCACCGCACTGCAATGACAGCGCATTGGAGGCGTTGGGCGGAGGTATCATGCAGCACCCTAACGGTGCCTCTTTTGCGGAGCGTGTCGTGCTGCTTCTTGATGTATCGCCAAGCTATCTGGTCACGGAAAAGCTGCTTACTCTACTGCGGCTGCTGCGTGAGCGACTGCCGCAGTTGCTCAATGTGGAGGATGCGCGGATGGTGCAGTGTGCCATTGAAGAGTCAGCACCGGAACAAAGGCAACAACAGCAGTTAGAGGCACCACGTGAGGAAGACGATCTTGATGGGACAAGACGTAGTTCGGCCGAAATGCTCCTTGAACTTTTTGGTGACGAACAACTTCTGGGCAGCTCTCCGCATGTACTTCGCCTCACGTCAGTGTTTGGCGTGCCTTCAAGCTCGTAGTCCCTTGCTTCGTGGTTGGTTTGGTGTGTTGAATAGGTCGCTTAAGAACCCGAATGAAACATGTGTTGGTGCCTCGCTTCTCTCTCACTCTCCCTCACGCACGCACATACACATACACAATTCGTGTCTGTGTGTGTGTGTGTGTGTGTGTTGGTGTGGTTAATGTGGCGGCATAGACCCAGCATGTGCTCCTTGCATGGGGCCTCTCTCTCTCTCTCTCTCTTTGTGCCCCCGTTGCATATTCTTTACAATTGTTCTGCAATTTCCACAAGCACGCATACACATTCACACGCAGGTCAGGAAGTTTTTTCTTTTTTAACTCGGAAGTTCACGGAAGGCATTTCTGAAAATGTCCAAGGCAGGAGAAGGTGGGAACACCAGTCTAGCAAGGGTCGGGAGTGTCGCAAGCGCTACCAGGCCCATCAGCGGCCTCTCCTTCCTGGACGAGAGCAAGCTGCACCCCGACTTCCGCCGGCTGAAGGGCAATCAGATGTACTTTGTCGACCGCTGTGTCTACTTTGAGCGCAATGGCATGAGCGGCGAGAATCGCATCATCGCCCTCACTCCAACGGCCTTCTTTGTTCTTGATTTCAATGGTACAATGGACCGCGGGACAGCGTACGAGCAGGTCGGGGATATTTATCAGAAGAAGGCCAAGGGGAAGCTGCTCTCTTTTATTGCGAGCGAGAACCACCTCCTACTGAAAGTCCCCTCAGAGATTGATTGCCACGTCTGCTTCCTCAACCCGGGCACACTGCATAAGTGCACGGAGGTGCTCCAGAGGGTACTGGGGGCGCAGCGCGGCGTCGCCGTCGCAGTGAAGGATGTCCCGCCCGAGAAGGGCATTGAGTTCTACTGCAACGACAAGCGGCCGGAGGGCTACTACACCTTACGCGAGGTGGCGGAGGTTATGCGGCAGCGCAGCATCCTCGAGACGTACATCAGCGAGGGCCAGAGACAGGTGATGGCATTGCTGCAGGAGATCGAGGTCGCCAAACAGCAGGTCGCTTCCCGAGAGGAGGAGGTGGAGGCACTTAAAAAGAAGGGCATTGACGAAAAGTCGATACGCCGTCGCAAGGCGAGTGTAGAGGAGAAGCAGATGCAGCTCCACCAGAAGGTGTCGGCGAAACAAGAGGAAAATGAGCGCGTCCTGGAACGTGTTCGGACGCTGAAGGACGATCTTGAAGCCGCTCGCAACAACATGGGGGCACTAGTGGAGGAAGGCATCGCAGCGGTGATGGCGAAGGTGAGCAAACAGGACGATGAGACTGTTGCGCTGCGCCGGCGCGTCCAGCAGAAGGAGCGGGTCGCCGCTGAAGAAGAGATCATGAAGTACAAACGGGAGCTGTTTGCCGCGCACGGTGGTGGTAACGCCGCGACAAGGGCTCTGGAGGCGAAAGTCAGTACCGCCTTTGCGGAACTTGAGAAGGAGCTAGAGGAGGTGTTTCGCCTCGAAAAGTTTATCACCACAGTGAATGGGGAGATACGAGTGCACAGCGACCAAATCGCTTCGCTGAATAGCGAGAAACAAGGACTCATAAACGCACGTGAAAAGAAGGCTGTGCCCTCTCCAACCAAACCTGCGCCTGGAAACGGTCTAGACGAGCTGGACGACTTGTTACTCGCCGCGCCTGTTAACAACCTTCTTAACTCCCCTCCTCTCCCTCCTTCTGCTGCTGCTTCTGCAGTGACGGCGGCATCAGGGGATCCGTTGAGTGCTGCGCTGTTGGAAGAGGACCTACTGTGAACGCTTGCCCCTCCCAGAGGGTGGTGCTTCCCTGCTTCTATTATTAAAGATATATATATATATATAT